GGAGTTGTAAGAGCCCCTAATAAAATGATTAAAAAAAACCCTGATAGTGGATGCGGAAAGCATCCCATGGCTCCCCATCTCTGTGCCCAGGGCCCCATCCTTCCAGCTGCTCTGGCCTAAACCCCAGTCACCCTTCAGCCTCTCTTTCCCTCCACCCCCAACATGCAGGCCACGAGCAGCTCCTACTGGATCCACCGTCACCGTGTGTCAACAAGGCGATCCCCTGCCCACACCTACATTGCTGTCACGGCTCTGGACAGAGTCACGGCCACCTCTTGCCTGGATTGTCCCTGTCTTCACTGGTCTCCTTGCTTCTGCCCTGGGTTCATGTGCAGTGGCCAGATTTTTCAGGCTAGAATCGGTCATACCCTGCCCCTCCCCTGCTCTCCACCCTCCGAGGTCCCAATCCTCTTCGAGTGAAGCTGAAGGTCTTCCAGGTCCATGAGTGGCCCGCTCCACCACCTCTCCTCTCCAGCCCTCTCCCTCCCGTTTTGCTGTGTTGGCATCCTGGCTGTCCCTCAAGCACAGCCGCTATACTCTTGCGCCAACGAAAAGGGTGGCATAGACTGTGGACTGCCAGGAGAAGGAAGCACAGTCAGGCTGCTCCTTCGAAGGGAGGGCAGCACGCCTTCCTCTCACACACTCTGGGCATCTTCTTAAGAGGAGCTAGTCCCCAGAAAAAAACATGGTGCCTGGTGAAGGAGAGGGTCAGTGGAAAAGGGGAAGACCCTCGATGAGATGATCTCTGGTCCCTCCGGTGAGCAGTCAGAAGGCCCTTTCCAAACCACATTAGAATAAATGAAACAGAATCATTCGCTCCCTCGAGGTTCTTGAAAAGTCAAACTCCTCAGTGACTCAAAAAATAAACCCAGCGGGGCTTTTCAGAGAGCCAGCAGGAGCTCCCCAAATAACGAGCTCCCCACCTGGGTCACCCTCAAACAAAGACAGAAAACAAAACCCAAGCCCACAGTCGTCACCAAGTCGATTCTAACTCATAGCGACTCTCTGACACCGGCTCAGTGAAAAGTGATACGGGCTGTCCGCGCATGAAGCTGGTCAGCTCAATAAATATCTACGAGGCTGAGTTCAAACGAAAAGTGAGTTCTAAAAAGTAGCATTTACTATGTGGTCATTGGGTAATTTTATGTCAACTTGATCAAGTATAAAAGTGTAGGTAGGGGTGGTGTCCACCCTGTCAACCAGGTCACAGCCTGATGGTGCCTCATAAGGAGGGTCCAG